AACTTTGTACCAATTTAGATACTGTTGTGTTTATACTTTGCTATGGGCAGTGAAAGGATTGTGTTAACTAAACCTAACATTAGAAAGCAAAAATATTATATATAACAATGATTCATAATATATATACTATTTTAAATTTTCTCCATATACCCAATACCTAGTAGAGTTCTCTTTGAGCAAATGTCAAAAAATACTTAAAAGGAGAATGCATGTATGATTCATCTAGTCATCAAGAGCACCGGCTTTAGAAGGCAATGGATCTGAATTTAAATCCCAGATCTAACTCAGGCGGTATAATCCTGGACAAGGTTCTGTATTTCTCTAAGGTTCACGTCCCCCCGTCCCCCACGTCAGGAGACTTGAGACACACGGACTGGCAGCTGGCATGCAACCCTCCAGGCCTTCCTCACACTCCTACAGGCTCACTTAATTGCCGGCACAGACCCGTGTCCCCTGACTGTGGCTCAGGAGAGAGACCCCGCCCACCTCCCAACACTGCCTTTCTTTTTCTAGGGATTGAAGGGGCATGGCCTGGTACATCTGGAGAAAATCCAGCCTGATCCTAGGTCTGGATTATTCCAGACAAAACCTTGCAGCTGTGTTCTTGTGTGGGTAACACCTGCAGCTCTTTCTTGAGGAAAGGGGAAGCCAATGGCCCCATCTATTTCTGCACTGGGTGGCCCAGAGAAAGCCACAGGCCCGCGCAGCCAACAATTCTGCTTATCTCCTCTTACTCCTGGATAAAATGGTAATAGTCATGCTCTACTTCCCTATGCTGTTAGCAGTAAATCAGAAAATGCCTAGGAAGAATAGTATCTGACACGTATTAACTGTTTAATAAATGATGTTTATACAGTATCATGCTTTAGTAAATTAATATTCTGTAAGGCTGATGCTATGAATAAGTGTGACTATGGTGTATATGAGGAAGTGAAGTCAATTTGATCAAATAGAATCCCATAAAGCACCCACAGCCAACCCATCTGTGGTTATTTTAGGTAATCTCTGAGAGTAGTTTTCTATTAAGTTTATTACTTCTTCTCTTTTACCCAAAATTATAAAACTGCCATTTTACATCGAATCCTATCAAATTGTTTAACCATATGTGTTTATGTTTGTGTTAAAGACATGATGGCTCCCAGTGTTGCTACTTGGACTGTGGGTCAATGAAAAAAGAAGGCTGATTAAAGATGTGGACATTGTGCTCACTCCAAGAGATGGCAAGTGAAGTCCCAGAGAAAAGAATGTCCCCAGGGTTCCAGATCAATCAGGGGGGAGGGGCAGATCTGAGTTATCATTAAGCATATGTTAGCCGAGAGCTCAAAGGAGCCTGTACCTCAGCAGCTACTTCCAAACGGACCGTGTGAGTGTTGCTTCAGTTTTAGAAAAGCAGCCGCAATAGTCTTGTGAAACTAATGATGAATTTACATCCTAGTTTGAATGTGTATTAAGTGTGTAACACTGAAAAAATCACTCAACATTTCTAAGCCTCCATGAAATGGGTGCTTTTTTAGGATTAAATTTGAATGTCTATAAAAACCGTATCTGACAGAGAGTAAGTGCTCCACAAACAGTTAGCTATCATTACACTGTGATAAATAAATATTCTGCAAGGTGGAGACTCTGAATGTAACTATAAATCTGAAGCATTTTGAAGTTTGTTTTGTAAATTGTTCATCGTGTGACATGAGCTTTGCTAATCACTGTGATCAAAAGACAAATAAGACAGACAGGGTTCTGTGCACCAGAACCAAAATCGGGGATGGGATATTATTTTTTTTTAAGGTGCGGGGACTCGGGGGCGTTAGGGAAGGGGAGGAGGAAATGGAGGCACAGGGGTGTTCCTGGGAGGGAGAGCTCCGGGATATTATTTTAGGGATGGTTTTTTGAAGTGTAACAATTGTGAAGAGAGGAACTAACACATAACAGTTGGGGCCAAGCTGATTGTTGAAGCCAAGAAAACCAGCAGGAAGCTGGGCAGATGGTGAGAAGCAAGCTGCCCAGGGCTCATCACTGTGATTCAGCAGCTGGAGGGAACATGAGCATTGAGTGAGCTCAGGTTCTGGACGCTGGTGGACTTGGCTGCACACCAGCTCTGTCCCTGCCTATCTGTGTAGCTTGAGCAAGTCATCCTCCTAGGCATTCATTTCCTCATTTGCAAAGTTGGGGGATTGGAACTGTTATCTAATGATACTTATCTGGACATTTTTTTGAATAATAAACCAACTGCTTAATATAGTGCAGATATAAGCACTCAATAAAAATTTGTTATTTTTAGAAAGAAAAATGAATACTATTAATATTAGTACTATTGTGATTCTTATTATTACTCTTTTTTAAAATATATTTTTGTTGTTTTCAAAGAGGAAGAGAGAAGGAGAGGTAGAAACATCAGTGGTGAAGGATCAGCTGCTTCCTGCACACCCCTATGTGCCCTGACCAGGAATTGAACCGTGACCTCCTGGTTCCTAGGTCAATGCTCAACCACTGAGCATTGCCTGTTGGGCCTAATTATTACTCTTGATATCAACACTATGATTACCATCCTGTAGACCCTGGCAGGGACAGAATGCTTGCTGGTAGAGGTGGGCACCAGGAGTGTCACTGAGTAGCAAGCAGACCTATGCAATATGTACAAATGGGTTCTCCATCTGACACAGTTGAGACAACTTCAACAAGCCGCTCGCCCTCTGAATGACATGCCTTCCTTGCACATAAATAACGTGAGCCAGAACCCAACTTAACTTATATCCCAACATGACAACATATAGGTGAAGAAAGCTTTAGTGGCTAAAAAAATAAAGGTTTAGTGGAGAAATGATGATGGAGTGGAACTGAACAGTCCTGGATTCTTTTCTGGTTTCTTCGTGTACTCGAGTAAGATGCTGGGCAAATTACTCAATTTCTCCAGACCTCAGGCTGCGCGTCTGATGACGGTAGATCAGGCTAATGAACTCATTGTTCTGTAATACAGGAGCATCTCACAGGATGGGGAAGCTTGAGGTGGGCTATCAATAACTCTTAGGTGCCCTCCCCACAAAAAGACATAATAAAAGTGCTTCATTAAGAGGAGACTAAGTGAAATCTGTGGTTTTTATCTTTGTTATGTGAAAGTATTTCAAACACAAATTATATTTTGGCAGAGGTCTTTACCCTTTCTATGAATTTATGTTGAGGGCGAAGCATAAGTGAGTTGCATGGTGTATTATTTTTAAGCTGGAGAAAAAAGGATTCTTTAGTTTCTTAAAGATTAAAGCTTATACTAAATAGAACACTGTCTCTTTTATGAAATTCAGGGTCCCCATATGAAACATCCAAATATGTTCCAGTGGCGGTAGGAGAGCTCTAATATCTGAAAGCTGGGATTTAGTCAATCATAGTCGATTTAGATAAATGGATTCACATATGTCTACAAACATGTATGTATACTTATCTCTATATCAATTTTCCTATCTGTAAAATGTTTCCAGTTCTTTAAAAAAAAAATTTTCAGTCCTCACCCAAGGATATGTTTGTTGATTTTAAAGAGATGAAGGGGGGGGGGGGAGAAAGAGAAAGAGCGAGAAACATCCATCCATTGCCTCCCATACACACCCCGACCAAAGATCAAACCCTAAACCTAGGCATGGACCCTGACCAGGAATCAAACCTGCAACCTTTTGGTGTATAGGATGATGCTCCAACCTATACTGAGACACCTGGCCAGGGCAAATGCTTCCATTTCTGATTTAAAATATAAAAGATGTATTGGCATGTAGGGACATACAAAAATTCCTTTTTGCAATTCTCGAATGATTAGTTACACTGAACATCTTTTCATATGTCGATGGGCCATCTGTAAGTCCTCTTTGGCAAAGTGTCTATTCAGGTCTTTGCCCATTTTTTAATTGAATTGTTTGTTTTTTTTGGTGTTGAGCTTTGTAAGTGTTTTATAAACTTTGGATGTCAACTCCTTATCGGATGTGAATGTGTTCTCCTATTCAGTGGTTGTCTTTACATTTTGTTGATGATTTCCTTTGTTGTAAAAAACCTTTTTAATTTGATACAGTTACGTTTATTTCCCTTGCCCAGGGCAATATAGCACCTCACACCTATCAGAATGGCTATGATCAATAAATCAACAAACAATGGAGAAAAGGGAACCCGCATGCACTGTTGGTGGAAATGCAGATTGGTGCAGCCACTGTGGAAAGCAGTGTGAAGTTACTTCAAAAATTTAAAATGGAACTGCCTTATGACCCAACAACTCAACTTCTGGGAATATATTTGAAGAAACCCAAAACATTAATTTAAAGGAATATGTGTGCCCCTAAGTTCATTGCGGCATTATTTACAATAACAGGATTTGGAAGCAGCCCAAATGCCCATCAGTAGATGAGTGGATAAAAAAAAATCTGTGGTACATTTACACAATGGAATACTACTCAGCAGTAAAAATGAAGAAAATCTTACCTTTTGTGACAGCATGGATGGACCTGCAGAGTATTATGCTAAGTGAATTAAGCCAGTCAGAGAAAGCCAATACCATATGATTTCACTCATATGTGTAATCTCATGAACAAAATGAACTATCTATCAAGCAACATAAAGACAGAACCATAGACAGAGATCTGGCTGACAGCTGAGGGGGTGGGGGTTGGGGGATGGAGAGATTGAGAAAAAAAGAGAAAAAAATCATGGACATAGACAACTGTGGGGATTGCCAGGGGGAGGGAGATGGGGGGCGGCTGTGGAGGAAGGTAAAGGGGGATAAATGGTGATGGAAGAAGATTTGATTTGGGGTGATGCACACACAATAGTGTACAGATGATGTGTTGAGGAATTGTGCATCTGAAATCTGTATAATTGTGTTAACCAGTGTCACCTCAATAAATTCAATAAAAAGGGGAAACATCGTTCTTTTATCTCTTTACATATCTATAAAGTCAATTTCTGCATGGAATTTGGCTTTTTAAACCTCTCCTCTAATAGCTACTTTAGCGTGCTGGATGAACACTTACTGTATGCGCATCCAAACACCTCGATCCGCATTCCAATTCTGCCCTTGGGGTTCCACTCCAAAGGGAGGAAGCGCAGAAACCTGGCCTTGATCGAAGGCTGGAGTCTATAGTACACGACACTGTCTGCATTTGCATTTCCTGAAAATCCCTAGAAAATAAAGGAAAGAAGCAAATAATTGTACCCAAAGCATATCCATCTCACCTTCTCACCTTGAATGTTGGTGAGCAATGTCTAATTTGCTGTTTACTGTAACAATGGCTAACTCCTTTAAGAATATCATATTCTCAGTTATGTCCCAATGTCTCCCCATCCACAGAAGTTACTATTGCCTAAATTTTTCTTTATATTCAGATAGTTTAAATTCCACCATTCCCATTAAACCACCATTTAACCATGATAACCTCAATGAGTGTTGTTTCTCTAAAGTGCACATTCAACTTAAAACATTGTAGAGAGCACAGAAAGTTAAGAAAATCTTCTATCAGTATTCAAAATCCAAGATCAGCAAAGAAGTAGCTCACATTGATGAATGGGTAAGGTTATGCCATGTCTCTGTTGTTTCACTTTCTCATCTTACTCATTAACATCAACAAATGTATCACCCAACATTCAAGTAAGAACTGCACTCTAATAGCGGGTTGTTAAACTTCACCACACTGCTGGATAAGCACATTAAAAATCGTTAAGGGAAATTGCAAGCAATAATAATTTGGAAACACCTGTAATTAGACTTACGGACTCTACAATTTGAAAGCTAAAAAGACCTTGAGAATGATGCTAAGCTAGCACAGTCAAATTGTAGGTGGGGAAATTAAAGGTCAGAAAGATAGGGAAATAAACAAGAAACTATTATACAGCAAGATCAGGAGTGATGTTCCCCCTACAATATCACAACGCACCTACTCGACACACAGCTAACCTGTGAAACCCACACACCACAGCCCCTAACATGTAAGCAGGTTTCAGTTTCTTCTATGTGGCATACTGCAAGGCTCCACAAAGGAAGAAGTTAGGATGAAACAGAAGTTGTTCTAAAAAAAACTATATTTTTTATTTTCTTCCTCTTCCTCCTCCGCCTTTTATTTAACTTTAACAATCAGCATATGTAGAAGCAAAGTAAGGGATGATGCTACCACCTTTTTCAGGCTCATGATACATCACCCTATTACCACAACGGGATCAACAAATGACTCAACCTCATGTACATTACACAGGCAAAGGCCAATAAATGCATTAGGAATACCAGTACCCAGGGAGCTTCTTCATTTGCCTACTTTTCTTTCTACTTCAGAAATACCCTTTTACCAGCATCTACCAAAATATTTTCTAATAAATAAAAATAACAGTCTGAGTGTTTCACGTCAGATTAATTTGATTTGATTCGCCTTTTCAGTCAATTATCTGCCTCCTACCACCACCACCACCAATACCCCATTGTGCCCAATTCCCAGGCTTACAAATACAGTTCTGTGATGGCACCTCCACAGTGTATCAAAAATTGGGGCATCTTTCTTCATCTTATCTGTGACCAACAAAGCATCATGCCACCAGAACCACCGCAATGGCCTCTTCCTCACTTTTTTATTCTTCTGTTCCCTGACACCGTATCTCCATCCCCATCCCAAATCCCTTCGCCTCCAAGCACTCAGTAATATATTTAAAGGTAAATTAAATAACATCACTTCCCCTGCCTCTGTTACCACATAGAACAAAATCCAAACTCCGTATCAAACAAACAGTCTTTGGCAACAACCTCCATTATGTGTCAGCCACGCTAGATCTCTCTGAACAAGCCAGGCTCAGGCAGGCTGTTCATTCCTCTCTGAAGGTTCTTCCCTTGAGGTCTTTGCATAACCAGCTGCTCTTGTCATTTCAGGCCTTGGTCCAAATATTACCACCTTTCCGATTCTAGCTTCTAATGTGGTGTATCTGACACCCCTGCATCTTATCTTCTTGTTTTATTTATTTTTCATATCACTCATTATTTGGGGATCTTCTTTTGTTTGTCATTTATTTAACTTATCACAGTATAAGACAAAACTCCGCTAAACTGGGGACCTTTTAGGGCCTTCCATCCACAGTCCCTAGGGCATGGCTTGGCTCAAATAAAAAATATTTGTGCCCAGCTGGCATGGCTCAGTAGTTGAGCATTGACCTGTTAACCAGGAGGTCATTGTTCAATTCCTAGTCAAGGCACATGCTCGATCCCCAGTAGGAGGTGTTCAAGAGGCAACCAATCAATGACTCTCATCACTGATGTTTCTATCTCTCGCTCCCTCTCCCTTCCTCTCTGAAATCCATTAAACGTATTTTTTAAAAAATAAAAATATACTTGTTGTATGTGTATGTTTCGGAAAGGCTGGGCTTGAAAACAGAACAAAGTTCAACAGGATTCTCAATTACAGGATCTCTCAGGGCATGTCAAAGGGGAATGTGCAAATGTGCACTGTATCTCCCACAACAAGGATAGTTATCCAAGGTGTTTCAAACATATTGGGTCCACATTTCTAGTTACTCTTTCCCAGAACATAAACAGAAGAACATTGTTTAATTCCACAGGCATTTGGACTCTGATAACCAGAACCTTGTAGAATGCTCCCTTCTATTCCACTGGTCAAAGTTTCATGCTCTGGGCATTGGTGTGTGTGTGTGTGTGTGTGTGTGTGTGTGTGTGTGTGTGTGTGTGTATTTTTGCAGGCTCTCCAAATCAGGATAATGTGCATCCAGGATTGAAAGCCTGGTCCAAATATTACCACCTTTCTGATCTCCGCTTCTAAAGTAGTGTATCTGACACCCCTGCATCTATAGACATTCAATCCTAATCAGACCCTCTTATCCTCTGAATCCATTTTCCTGGGTGCCACTCACAGGCTAATACAATACCTAATTATGATTTCTTTCAGTGAACAGCTGGATGATGAATTGGCTCCGTAAGAGCTCACATTTTTTTCAAAATTAATGTAACTTCATAGATTTAGATAGATGTCGCTACGATGATCACAGCGTCTTACGGGGTTAGGAGAAAAGATGCATAGTGACAGTGGCAATAGGCAAGCAGAACAGGCAGGGCTTTCACATTTCCCTGATTGCTTTTGACTTATTTGAATTTTGAGAACATAAGGAAGGAATATAAGATGCTTAGTTTGTATATGTAATATAAATATCTTGCCCCATTCAAAATTGTAAGCAGTTTTTCATACAAAGATTGAGGGAAATTGTGAGGTGGGAGATATGTGTTTTTTTAAAATTAAATCTTTATTGTTCAGATTATTACATTTGTTCCTCTTTTTCCCCCCATAACTCCCCTCCTCCCAGTTCCCGCCCCACCCTCTGCCCTCTCTCCCCACCCACTGTCC